GGACGGCCTTGTCTTGGCAGGTTTACTGTGGTGCCATACTCTTTCCATTTCCGGTCTTTCACATTAAATTCCAGTGAAATATATTTATGTTTGTGGTTGTAATGTGACAAAATATGGAAAAGTTCAAGGGGTATGAATACTTTTGCAAACCAATGTAAGTATGTATGTATGCATGTATGTGTGTGTATATGTGTATGTTTGTATGTGTATGTGCCTGATTCTGTGTGATGGTCAGATGTCAGGTGTGGTGTCCTATTATCCTATGTCCTTATATTTCTCTTCTACTTTTTCTTTTTCTTTCTTAGTATTATAAAAAAGCCACTGTTGATGCAGAAATTAAGAAACTAACATTCAGTTTTGTTTTCTACTGAAGGGGCAAAAAAAAAGAATTGCATGTAGAGTTATGGAACATATGGGCTTAAAACATAAAAAGAAATCAGTGAGCCGTCAGTTTTCTTTGGTTGAATTACATCAGTGCAGTCAGATATTTTAACTTTTTAAACAGGTTTTACAACTGTGGCTGAAGTAGTCTTGCCCTACTGTATTCTCTTTAGTTTTTTATCCTTCTATATTCCCTCTTTAGATGCATGACTGCCCTGTTGCACTCTCTCTCCATCTGCCTATTTCAAATGGACAAAGGCGTTATACCCCATGACCCCCTCCGTGCCCCTCTGCAGCTTCCCTTCTATGTCCCGCTGTCTTAGCCCTCTATCTTAAGTGGATTTAGGCCTTGAGCCTTCCCATCAKTCAGCGACCAGCACTGAGCCCTCAGCTCCACTCAGCCGACCAGATGGCAACAGCATCGGAGCATGTGTACGAGACTGGACAGGGCATCTGCCGTTACACTTTCTGCTACTGTAATACACACTCACACACATGCACACGCACGCACACGCATACACAGTCATGCACAGACTGGTGGATCACATGCAAACTTAGTGTCACAAGCCCTAGAGCACCATTTGTCATCTTGGTCTGCAGCCCAAGCCACGCCAAAAAATACACAAAAACACACACACACACATTAAATTGGCATTTTCTGCAGCAGAATATTACTGTCAAAAATTCTACTCTGGTTTCATAGTTTCTTCACACACACTCATAAAAAAACCTGATATGGTCTTGAAGCATTCTTTAAAGTGATACATATCGCCCACAGCTTCCATGCCAAAGCTAAAACGAAGATCTCATGTGATCCGTTAGCTCGTGGAGTCTGTGCTGTACATGAGTTTGGCTACTTTCACACAAAATTTGAGCTCATCTGTAAAAAAAATAAAAACTGAGCTGTATTCATTTTTGTGTATCCTTCCCCATTTTTTAATAAACCACATGTGCAAAGTTAGACATGCACTGTTTTCTGGGTAGCTATGGGACCGGCTGGCCCGTGGACGAGACATGAATTTGTGAATAAAAATCTGTCAACGTGATGGACATTCAGACGTGAAAGTCACACAAAGCATAGCCAAGCGAGGCACGAGAATGTCATTGAGCTTTCACAACCTGAACAATAAAAACAACAGAAAAAAAAAAAAAAAACGAGCATCTTCTTGTCGGACCAGAGTCAGACTGGATCCCACAGAGCAGACATTCAGCCGTGGCAACACTCAACCACAGGAACTCTAACCCCCCACAAAGATACTTTGTATTTACGCTTTACGGTGTTCAGCAGATCATTTAAACTTCATCGGCTGCGGCTGAATAAGAGGAACTGGTTGTCTGTCAGTTGAAAGGTTGGCGGTTTGATCCCACCCACATGTCGAACTATTCTAYGGGCAAGACACTGAACATCAAGTTGCTCCTGATCCATGTGCGATACCACAGAAGTGCAGTTAATTGATTAAATAGAGGGTTTTATTGTGTTTGTTTGCACTTGCTATCTCTTACACTTTAAATCTACAACTGGTTCTTCCGTTTAATATCAAACATTATTGAGAGAAAGCTCTAATAAGCTGTAAATTAGTATTTGTAGTATTTAACTAAACTTCTCCACATTTCATGTGAAGTTCAAGATCTTCATGTGGTGCCCTGTCATTATCGCCATCCCTGCAACCACTTTGTGTGTAAGAGCTGCAGTGGGGAGGGGAGGGATGAGTAAACCAGTGGTGACTCTTGCTCTTTAGAAGAGGTTATCTTTGGCCACACAGGCCTGCCTGTCTGTCTCCATCCCATCAAAACATGCAAACGCTGCCTGTGGAGCTGAGCCACACAGGGCTGGAAAGCACTGTCATCCTTTTTAGCCGTGTCTCTCATCCTTCTGTTTCTTCCTTCACAGCTTTAAGAAAAACGATGTGGTGGTTTCAAGACTTTTTTTAACCTCTGTATCTCTCATGCTCCTGTCTTGATCTTGCTTTCATCCGTTTTCCCATTCCCCACCCCTTTCGACATCCTGTTTATCTGAAATCTGTTAAAATTTTGTGCTTAAAAAATAAAAAAATAGCTCACCTTCTTCAGGTTAAGATGACCCAGGATTTCAATGATAATTTAATTGTACCTAAAATGATTATTGTAAAAATCATTAAATCAGAAATTATGGCTGCAAAAACATAGGAAAAAAACAGATATATTGTGCAGCTTTTTCAGAAATTGAGATCTTTCAAAGAGAGTTTTGTGGAAAAGTTCTGAATTATTAACTTCTTACCTGTTGTAGATAGCTCTTTGAMTGAYGTTGGTTTGGAGATTTAGAGYTTAAGCCTAATCAGATTGATCCATTGAGAGTTAATCTGAACAGAATCAGATCAAAGTGGATYCTTTTTTCTCTTAAAATGACTCTAGTTTCAAAATTTTAAATAGATCACACACACTCTTTATGTAAACTTTTGTCAGTTTTGAATTATTGTAATTACATTTAATTTTGGTGGGGTTTTCGTTAAGGTAGGCAGCAGCAGCTAGCTGTAAATATTCTAGCGCGGCCTTGGCTTGTGACTTTGATGAAAATTAAATGTTGCGTTGCACTGAGGTATAAAGACCGTCAGAGTTTTTAATTGTTCAYACGTCTAAAGATCTGAACTATGGCTTCACCTGAAATAAGAGTTGGTCCTGAAATGAGAGTTCGATTGAAACCTGTCTTGATGTGCACTTATGATCCATAAAAGRTTTTCTTCTTCTTTGGTAAAGCTGGAAGTATCCCTCTGGCTGTTTTAAAGGTCAGACTTTATATCTCCTGACAGCACAAAATCCACTGTCATGGTCTTTTTTAATAAGGTTAGGATGTCTTGCTTTATGGCTTCTTATCCTCTACCTTACTGTAGTACAAACTAATTGTTTCTACTGAAGCCTTCAGCGTTTGACATGATTGTGTTTTATTTCWTTGAACCATGAGGGGAACATAAAGGCTGCTTGTTTAGATCTGAAGGCCTGATTTACTTATTTCAGCACCACCTCTCTGAGATTTGACTTCTTGAAGTAGAAACCTCTTTAGTTCGTGTCTCTCTTTAATCTGACAGCTGTTTTCCACGTCTTTACATCTCTGAGTCAGCGTGACGCTTTTCTGTAGTTTGTCGTTTTTCTTGTTGTTGAAGTTTAAGGTATTTGCTATTTTCCTTCATCTTGTTCATAATTCTCTCTGTTCTTTTCAGGCTCTGGCTTCTCACCGTGCCTACCTCTTAACAGCACGCATTCCCGCCAAGGTAAGAGCTGAGTAACTTTCAGATTTTTAAAACAACATTTTTATATTTTGGATTTTTTTTTCATTATTCGTTTACCCTGAGTGTTCTCTAGAAAATGTCTAAACTAAGATACACACAGATGATTTAATTTCCTTTTTTTTCTACTGCTCTGTTAAATCTCAGATAATACAGCATAAAACATGACCTTTCAGATATTTTTGGTCTTTATTTTAAAAAAATTTGACTCGTATTTGACCTAATTGTATTTTCTTTTAGATAAAACTGTTTTTTTTACTTGAGTATTTTCCAGGTAATTTCCTACAGGGACAGGTTAATTTTACCTCCAGTGTTTGAACCCGCAGGTTGATTGYGTGTTTATTTAGCTGCCTCTGTGTGTTATCATTTGACTTGGAGGGATTGTACACCTGCTTAACAAAGAATTAAACCCACTTTACAATCTCTGCCTACAGCATGCCTCAGCATCTCTGTTTACACAGTGTCTAGATATTTTTTTTTTGTGTGTGTGTGTGTGTGTGTGTGTG